GACGACAGCCAGTCAACCCCGCCCTCTTTGTAGAGTAAGGGAGGATCACGTGACCTCCTCGGACCTCTATGCACGAGGAAGGGTCTTGGCAGACTCCTCGTACATAAGCCACAGAGGAAAGCCCCTCGTGCGCCAGCCACCGAGCAATACTCGGACTCCTCTGACCGAGGGCTACGAGCACCATAGGTATATAGCATAGGCAATGTAGCCCTTATGGCTCATTGTGTTCAATTACTTAAGTTACGAGTACAAGTACAATACAAGAGTTACTTGCAGAGACACTGTTCATACCACCCTGTTGCTTCATCCGCGAAAACCAACCTCAAGAGTCTGACACCAGAAGTCTTATATTACTTCCACTCAGATCCTACTCTTAACACTTTGAACACCCTCAAGATGAGCGACATTGTTATGAACACTCCTGACGCTTCCCTCACCGGAGGATCATCCACTCGTGGTAACAAGCCCGACTTGTACCATAGAGACCGCAACAAGCTCGAAGCTTGGATCCTCCAGGTCGACCGGTTTTTCCACCTACAAGGAGACAAAATCAAAGACAACGACAAGGTTGTCTTGGCCACCACCTACTTCCGAGGTGACGCAGAAAAATGGGCCAACCTGATCATTCAACGTTACATGGATGACTCCATCACTAACGCCGACAACACTGCCTTAGTAGAAGACTAGGACGCTTTCAAGGTCAAACTCCGACAGAACTTCTCACCTTTCAAGGAATCGGTAGTCGCGGAACAACGAATTCAAACCCTACGCCAGACAGGGCCAGCCGCCGACTACACGACGATATTCCAGCAGCACGCCACCAGAATCGACTAGGACGACAAAGCACTTATGCGCATGTACCGACAAGGCCTTAAGCCAGCAGTGCGCAGAGAACTTATGAGAAGTGGAGCCAACATCGACACGCTAGCAGAACTCATGGAAGAAGCCATTAGAGTCGACAACGATTTATATGAACTAGCGCTAGAAGAACGACTGTTCAATCAGGGAACGCGACAACAGGATAGGAACGATTGGCCTCGACAACAGCAATACCGACGTTCACCCCCTAATACGGGAAGGCAGCGCGGTTTCATACCATCCACGCCAGGATCCTACCAAGGGTACGGTGCTCAACCTATGCACCTCGACAACCTCAACAAAGGACGTGGATTTGGACGCGCTAAGCCAAATGAAGGACCTAAGGGTCAACACAACAAGGACAGAAAGAAAATTACTTGTTACGCCTGTGGCAAGGAAGGCCACATGGCACGAGACTGTCGAAGCAAGAATAAGGTCACTCGACAACTAAACGTTATCCGAAAAGACTCCGGCCTCGACGATGGCGAGTCATGGAACGTTATCACCCCAGCCCAAGTCAAATACCATCCGCTTGATGAAGAACTTATCACAGGACTTGAGGACGTAATGCTTACCACCGCTGAGAGCAGCGAGGACGAAAAGAACCCGCTCAGCGACGAGGAATACGAGACGCCAGCAGAAGAAGAATTTCCTGCGGCACCTACGAAGCACGAGAAGATGGCCAGGTTCAAGGAAAGGAACCGACCCGCTACGCCAAAGCCGACAGAGCTGGAACCCGCTTAAGAAGAACCCCGATGGGATCTGGTATAACAGATAACCCCACCCAGTACGCCACAATGGGCGCAGAAAGCACAAGAAGCATGGCAACAATCACAAAAGGAATACCAAGCCACCAGGCAGCAGCAGGACAACAACAACTGGTACTGGTATGATGCACGCAACGCACACCATGCTCGACTCTCATGGACAGCATGCCTAGCTGCCTACTGCCCAGCCCATTACTCAGACAAACAAGGAGCGGGATGGAATCCTAAGACCATCTGAGGATACCCTAAATGCAAATACCACTGGTTTGAATGCGTAGACGACAAATGCCCAAAACACCTATGGGACAAGAGGGAGAAGAAGCACTTCCCAGGCTACGATGACCCACAAGAGGTCATACAGATGCAAACAGTATACCGGACGGAGTACGTGGACGATCACACGTACGCTTGTCAACGACAAGACTGGCAGACATGTCTTAGCGACAGTTGCGACACCCATGTCCTAGCCAAAGAATATTACGGATTCCCGGTAAAGTCTTTTTTAGGCCAGCGCCACGAGAGCCAGGGCCCTCCAGGGAGATCAATACAGTAAATCCCCTAGGACTGATAAAGCTCACAGCAGAGCTCAACGGAAAACGGATGCAGGCACTAGTGGACTCAGGATCACAGGCGAACTATGTTTCAGCGCACGCAGTTAGGAAAGCCGGACTTACCCAACTACGGAAACAACAGCCATACCCACTACACGTTGCCAACGGCGAACCAATGCCAAACGAAGAAAGAATAACACATGAGGTCAGACAGGTGACACTCAGCATCCAAGAGCATGAGGAGAAGATAGACCTAGACGTCTTTGGACTAGCTACCCACGACATCATTTTAGGACTCCCATGGCTACGAGAACACAACCCGCGGATCGACTAGAAGTCGAAGGTGTTCCAATTTGAGTGCTGCGGAACGGACGCAACCGCAAGCCAGCCTACGCATCAGCAGAGTCTGATGGTA